CCCATAATTGAAAAATGAAATTTTAGATTCCCATGCACATCACACTTTTCTTGCTCATAGCACCTTTGTGAAGGGGCTTAAAAATAACAATCATAAGAGTTGTTCTTGTTTCACTTGCAGAAGCCAAGCATAGAACTTATATTTCATGAATTGGTGAATGGGATATATTACTAAATATATCCCATTAAATGAGGTATACATGGTTTTTCTCCTCTGCTAATTAATGTGTTTTTATTCATCTATTACATGATTGGGCAAAGGTCAGCCCTAAAGCTACCCTATGCAGTCCTCTAGTGTTTTAGCCTTCTGTCACCTCTCTCTTTTTACCATAAAAAGGTGAATAGCAGCTGCCAGCAGCCTCAAAGGGTGCTGATTCACATTTTACATAGATCACAGGGTCTTCCTACACTATTTAATCCCCCAAAGACCCTTTTTTTTTTCAAAACTAGAAGTAGACTTATAGCCACATCAGGTTTCCTTTTCCATGTTCCTTGGCAATTCTGTTGGTTTCTGTAAGTCTCACAAGGTCCTGAGGCAGAAACCTGGCCCTCAGACCCACCAACAATGTCCATCCCTAATCGACAAGCAAGATTGTGTAAAGGTTAAAAAAAAAAGTCTACCTTCGAGATTGGCTGAATCAAGGAAGTATCTGCCAATTCTACTAATGTCCAAATGTAGTTGATGCTTGCAATCTGTAAGGCTCTTTTTATAGAGGCCCAAACATTGAGTAATCTCCAGGTAATTGAACTGAGTGCCTTCCTAATGTTAGGGATGTACATCTTTGCTTGTCTTTAACCTTGCATGCAAAGAGGAGGCACAGCAAACATTTCCCAAGGAAGACAAGAAATCCCCTGGAGCTCTTGACAGAATTCTCACATTGGTCTTAAAGAAGCTGAATCAATTTCCAGCCCCAGAGAAGTGCCCTGCCTGAAAGAGAGCATAGACATACCCACCTGTCATGCGAAAGCTTTAGTTGCTGGGTCTGCTGTTCGTGAGCATTAATTAGCAGCTTCTTTAATAACTCACATTGCTGGCTCAGATGCAAATCACGCATCTCTTGTTCTTCGGCGCTGTGTGTGTTGATCATCTCAGACCACTCTTTTGTGTGCTGAGCCACAATTTCTTTTACCTTGGGGAAAGCAGGGCTGTGTCAGTATATTCTACACTCATCCTGTAAAGGCAGGCTGTTCAGGGACCTATTCTGTAGCCAATTATGCAAACAAAGCCAAAAAAACCAAACAAACCTTGCAAGACATTTTTCAACAAAAGAACAGTTTTCAGACAAAACATGGAAACTGTCATGGAAGCACTGAAGAGACCAAGAAGGCCCTTCTCCCTGTCCTTCTCTGTTGTGCTTTATAATATGCCATCGGAGATTATTATAGGCAAAGAGCCAGAGTGTAATTCTTTAATGGTTTATATGCACACACTAGAGGAATCTACCAGCATATTATGGATAGGGCTGTTCTAGCAAAACAGATACCCCTACAGACTTGAATCCTTTTTCCTAACAATGACACATTCCCCTGTTAATGTACAAACATTTTTGGGTTCTATCCAATTATGTCTTTGTGATAAAATAAAAGCAATTATCTGCTTCTGCAAGGAAGAACTGTCAGTTTTTGCTGATCTCCCATCCACCCAGTCACATGCTGCAGGCACAGATTTCTGCTCTCACCGGGTGCTCCTGAGAGTTGGGAGACCCTCTGGAATTGTATGGGACACAGCACAGAAGACTATAGTAAGCAGTGAGAATCGGTGAAAGTTAAACTCTGCCTGATTTTTAATCTTTTCACAGTCCACTTCCTGCTGGTAGAAAAGCATCACTGACTACACCACTATGGATTAAAAAAAAACTTGTTTGAAGAACTGACTGAAAGAAGAATATACGGCCAACAGATATTCCTGGTTTTTTAAAAAATGTGTCCAGTATTCATAGCAGCAGCAGAATTATAGCACTGGACAAACAAAATAAGTGTTCTAGGTCCTGAGCTGATTCTCCATTCATGGAAGGCTATGTGGCTCCATGAAGCTGGGGAGGCAGGGAGAGAAAATTCCACATTTTTCACTTTTCTCCCTGCAACACCCAATGTCACCTCCCGCGCTGCTACATAGGGCACCAGTCCTATGGAACATATTTTCAGAAGGTTGCAGGCAGAAGGGGGAGAATAAAAATATCTCATTTTTCAGCCTGCGAGAATGTTCTACAAACAGAGGTGTTCTCAAAGGAAGACTGGGTCCCATTCAACACAACAAATGAGGTGGGTTATAAAAATATCTCATTTTTCAGCCTGCGAGAATTTTCTACAGAGGTGTTCTCAAAGGAAGACTGGATCCCATTCAACACAACAAATGAAGTGGGTTATGCAGCTTTGACTGCAGGTTGATGACTTAGTGGCTGAATGACTCCATCTTTGTCATATACAGTCTTCTTCCATCAGAGGCTGAGGATCAGTCCAGGTGGCAGAAAGGCATGCCGCTACTATGCATGCATCCTTCTCAGTGAAGATCTTTGGACATTTCAAACTTTATTGTTCACCTTCCTTTGGATGGGTCTACAGTGTTTCTTCCTATTTCTTAGGTTATTTGCCACTTTTAAAAGCTCCTATCCACACACAGGACCATTATTGAAACAGCTACGTCTCTTACCTTAGATTTATGATCTGAAGTTAGTATCTGAATTTTATTTTCAATTTCTTTTTTCACCTCCAGGCAATTATTTCCTCTGAACAAAACAAAACAAAAAATTCATATAAACACCCCATGTCAACATTTCTTAACAAACAATAAAGGATGATCAAATACCAAACATATTTGAATAACATTATTCCCTTCATTCATGACTTACAATTTATATACAGTATTGTTTGCGTACTGATCTCTAAAATAAATGCAATATAATGGAGAACAATTATTCCACTGAAAAGGGAATGTACAAATACCGTAGATTAAATTTGAGGTTTCAGATACTTGTAATTTTTGGCTTTACATGTGTTTTTACATAGATCATTTGAGGAAGGAAAGAAAAAGAAATCAAATATGTCAAATTAATGGTTTAATTAATCCTGCTCTGCCTCTGGGACTGCCTCAGGAGATACTTTCTACAAAAAAGAATAGTGTTCTTATTTCCTTAAGAACTGCCATGGAAAGGAAAGAGATCATTGGTCTCAGACCACTGGTTCCGTTATTAGAATTGCGGGATTTGGAAAATCTACACTTTGTTAAACTCTGGAAAAGGAGAACATTACAAGCCATCCAGGCTAACCGACTCATTCTCACTTTTCCTTCCTCCTGCCAGTAGAGAGTGAATGGTGTACATGTGACATCCTTGCGGCCATTTTGAGAGACTGGGCTGTTTATTAAATGTATTCCATGCATATTGGCAATACGACTGTATTCTATATGTGCACACTTCCCAGCCCAGTTTATTGAGCTAGCCTGTTTTCCTGATGAACAATACTTTAAATAGTCAATGTTTAAGCTGCTGAAAGCATGCACACATGCACATACTGGTGTTCTGTGATGGGGTAACTAATCTTATTTTTGGGAATTAAGAGATGTGACAAGTCCATGCAAAATTTCATATTCTTGGCAATTTTTCAAATCCTGTCATGCTGAGACTACCTGTTGAAACTTCCCTTCACACTAGTAAACTCTCCTGGCTTCCCAGGAAAATAAGCCCTGTGCCTTCTTTTTCCTCATTAATTGATTGGTTGGCTGATTTTCACCTGTTCTTTTGCATAGGAAATAGACCAGTTGTATGCTGCCTAAAGCCCTCTCCACTGAACCCTGCACAGCAAAGACACCATCCTGCACAACAACTGCAATCGTTCTGGGCACCTCAGCATTTCCTCTGTCCTTTTCAGGTGACGCAGGCAGAGGAAAGATGTCGCTCTTCACAGGAATTGTTAAGACTCCTGTGAAATTTAGCATTTCTTCTGCACTTTCCAAACAAATCATGTGTAGGATAGAGGCCATTCTGTATGAAATTTGTGGTGCAGCTTGGCATTTATGTCAGAAAAGAAGACCACAAAACTTTCACACAATCTTGCAAGATTTCTCGCAAGACGTCTCTGGGTTAAAAAACATTCTTATGCAAATAGATCTTGCTGTAAAGAGAAGAGTGATTATCACTCTCCTCTGCAAGTGAGAGACAGCAAGACCCACATTCTGAGTACATATGCAGGAGCAGGTGATACCTTTATTAGACCATTAAGAAAATAAAGCAAAATACAAGAAACCAAGTGCTGTGCATCAACTTCTTGTGGTTATTTCCAAAATTATATGCTTTTATTAAAGTCCCAAAGTCTCATGGGTGATGTAGAGGCCAGGTTAACTTCTTAGATGGAAACAGTTGCAGTCTGCAAGGGGCTGGGGGGGGGAGGAGGAGGCTGTGGCTTCAAACCTCCACTCTGGCCAGTATTTTGGAATTTATCACCATACTCTCAAACAAAGGGAAGCCAAGTATCCTGACCCCCACTCATTTCCTCCTTCTACCTTCTTTTGAAACTCAAAGAATTTCTATTTGGCCAGGGAAACACGGTGACCAAGAAGCATGGCAAGCCTCCATCAGAGTTGGGGTTAAAAAAATTGTTTTTAGTTAAATTACCAGGAACAGCCAATTTTAATCAAATTAAAGCCAAATCAATAGCAAGCCTCCATCAGAGTTGGGGTTAAAAAATTGTTTTTAGTTAAACTACCAGGAACAGCCAATTTTAATCTAATTAAAGCCAAATCAATAATTGTACCTGCCGGGTGCAGTCCTTAACATACAATACTACTTATCTGGTGTCAAGAGTCCATGATATTCAGGACTCACACTGATCTTCAGCTTACGTCATGACATCTGGTGTCAAGAGTCCATGATGTTCAGGACTCACACTGATTTTCAGTTTACGTCATGATTGGCCATTCAACGGTATCTTACATAGTTCAGAAGAAATCCAGACAAGACCACATGGTCTTCAAAGTAACACAAATGCAGGAGCAGGTATTTAAGAAGTGGGTGACGAATTCCAAAATACTGGCTGGAGGAGAGCTTTGAAGTTGCGCCCTTTCCCCCACAGGCCCCTTGTAGACTGCAACTATTTCCATCCAAGAACCTCTACATCAGCCATGAGAACTTCAGGACTTTATTTTCTTAATGGTCTAATAAAGGCACCACCTACTCCTCCATTAATATTGTTTTGAAGACCCTTTCATGATTCATTCCCAGTATGTGTACACCGTAAATCTTGACTTTTTACAGAACAATTTGCCCAGTCTTTACCAAAATGGTCAACTGAGCTGACAGTAGGCATTTTGGTGGTTCACAAGGATTCCAGTTCAAGCAAGGTCTACCTCTCCTCCTGTGAAATGTATCTGCTTAACTGCCATGTAGTTGTGAACTCCCAAGAGCAGGCAAAACTCCCAAGAAATTAGCCATGGAAAGGAAAACAGGAAAGGAAGAAAGGAGGTAGAACCGCTCTTGTTCTGTAATTCTTGCCCCTCCCTACAAAATCATTGTGGACATCAAGCAATAACCATCAGTCAAAATGAAAAAGCCCCCCTCCCCTATTTAAGATCTCTAATTGAGTTGGGGATGGCTGTTTTGGCCTTCCCCAAATTCTCAGTCAGTATTAGTTATCTAAATCTGTGTTTTTAGATATCTGAAAATACTGTATATTTTAGTTTTGTCATTGTTATCATAGTTTTTTATACTTTGCTTGTGCTTATACACTGCTTGGGGGCTTATGGCAGAGAATGTTATTTAAACATATATATTTATTCAAAGAACATTAAATACTCTTTTAACTTATGAATATACACTGCAACTTTTATCTTCTAGTTTTCTTTCCAACAAGGGCCATACTTAGAATGGCAGAAAATCCTGAGATAACTTGCATTCTCTTCGGATCAGTGAGAGGATTAATAACTGATACTGTTTTCAGACAATAGCTGGCTTTGCAAAGTCATGGGTCATGAGTTTAACAATTGGAAGGCACCAGTGAAGCCCTAGAAACAAACCAGAATTTGATTCCCCTAACCTTTATGCTGCCTTAAATGTTAAGAGTAGATTCCAGACATATAATGCAATTTTCAGACAAGTATTTAAACTGTGTGTACATTAGTATCTAAATAAAACATACTGATTAAATGCATATAATGTAACTACTTATATTAATTATAGTAAATATTAAGAACACTTATAGATTTTTAAAAATACAATTCAATGTAGTTGTTGTTTTTATAGAAATGAATTGCTTATTTAAGTCAAACCTCCTAAGCCACTAACCCTAATTAAAATGTCCACTTCATCTCTGACAAGAAGGACTCAAATGTGAATAAATGATCCTGAGCCTCTTTTCAGGCACTGCCATAAATACACAACATACTTCATACAATAATGCATGAAAAGGTCTTCATAATACAGCATGACTTGTCTGTAAAACAAAGTTGTAAATAAGTTCAGCACAATGTCATAGGTTCAGAGCCAAAGCAGAGAAGATTCTGCCAGGTATGTTTATTGTTTGCGACATTCACACAAAGCTTGCATGTACAGGGGAGATATCCAATTTTTACATTGAAAGAGAAAGGTGGGTGGGAAGTGAATCTTCCTCCACCTTACCTCTCTGCTCCCTGTCCCTTGAGGCACTTTATCCCAGCTCCACCTCAGTACTGGGAGCGAACTGGGTTTGGGGATAGTGCATGAATAGACAGAGGGAAGGTGATGGTGAGAAGATAGAGAGAACATCCAGCTCTTTTAGCCTCCATACACCAGCTATCATTCAGAGCAACCTAATCTACATAGGAAACTATGGTAATTAAGATAGTTGAGTGCAGAAAGCCAATACGGTTGAGCTTACAGCTACAAATTAGGAGCAATCATTCATGACACTCCTGGTAGGACAGGAGGAAATATGTTTGCTGTTCTAAGAAACCCATTCAGGATAAAACAGGATAACATCTGGACTTGAATAGAGAGGCCAATGGCTCACTTCTATGTGTGCCAGTGTGCTGAGGGTGCCAATCTGAGGCACCCTAACAGTTAGCCTTCCATTGAAGACAAAGGATGATAAAAAACAAAACACACACACAAAGTTATTTCCTAGAATAGAAATATGCTACAAGGTGGGACTGACCTAAGAGTAACAATCTACAATTGGTCACTTACAGAGCAGCAGGAGAGACTGGGATGGCCAATCCTCTCTGGTTACCCAGTTGGAACTAGACACCCTGGCCTCCCTTAGTTTTCTGTGAGGGAGGCCAAGATGCCTATTCCCAACTCTGTAGCCCATACCAGCAATTCTCAATAAGAGTCATATGGCCCCATGGGGGGTCCTGGCACATTTGAAGAGGAACACAGACTGGAAACCATTTTTCACAAACCACCAGTATTTAGGTTTGTTATGCAACGTATACAATCATGATTCGGCATGTATTTCTTTCATATTGTGTTTATGGATGTGGCCAAAAAAAGCCTTGAGAATGGCTACACCATTGCTATAAACACGCCATTGCTATACTTATTCCAAAATTGTCCATATGTAATGGGAAGACACATGAACAGCCAAGACTATCTGGTTCCATTTTAAACTAGATTAGCCCTCATATGACAAGATTCTAAAAAAATGCATTGAGGTCAGGATACTTTTTCCTGCTTTCTCTTTGCCCTGAAGAAGTATGTTACTCAATAATCTGTGAATCTGAACCCATCAGCATCTGTGAACAGAAATATGAGTGCATCAGTTCTCTTGAGACCCTGGGACACGTAACGGCATTTGTAGGATCTGGCTGAAGCCCTTGTTCAGGAACACTAGGCATTTAGACCATCTGTTAGTGCAGAAAAGTATAATTATATCACCCCACCCCCAGAAATTATGCAGCTTATATATACTGCTGGCCACATACACAGGACAGACACAGTAATTCTTCATACAACACACAATTAATTTATGGAATTTGTTGCCAAAAGATCAGGTGATGGGCACTTGCTGGGGTCACTTTAAAAGGGATTGGAGAGATTCACAGAGAAAGGTAGCGCTCATCAATGGCTTTTAGAACAAAAAAAAGGAAATGGAACACCCTGGCACAGCTGGGAGAATACAGCTAGGAGGGGACATCATCTTCGTGCTTGGCTTGTGATATTTCTAGAATCATCTGTCAGAAACAGAATGGTGGATCACTCAGACGTTTGGTCTGATCCAGCAAGGCTCTTATATTTTTATGATTCTGCCATGCAAGAGGAAATCCTTGCCGTAAGTATGATGAAAACAAAAGGACAACAACTTGAAAAGTGATGACGCTAGCTTTGTATGCGTCTTTGCACAGAAAGGAAACCTGTGCTTGCCACACCCTCAGCCTTTAGCACAGAGTCTCACATACGCATAGGTTTCTATACGTGCAAATTTGCACTGAACCTTTTTGTGGGGTTACTGATCATATATTTACAAACAATATGTGCTCGATCCAGTTGTTAGTTCCAAGTAGAACAGACCCATTTAATCTCTTAATACAACTGACACGCTCATTTAGTAGGTGTGTTTATTTGGCTCTAGCAACTGGCTACGACCTCATGTGTTCTGGTACACATAGGCAAGCCTCCCCCAGTGCCTCAGTTTTCCATACATGATCACGTCTGCTGTAATCCAAACAGGTCTACTAAATTTAAGCATTCAATATTTATCCCAGCAATAGTTTACCTTCTGAGGGAAAGCAAAGTAGAATTAAATGATTACATTAGTTATGGAAAAGACTAAATTTTGGTATTAACTATGACTAGCTGCTTGACTGGATTCTCCTTTTTTTATTTATTAGATTTCTATCCCGTCCGTCTAGACCAAAGGTCTACTCTGGGCAGTTAATAAATTTAAAACAATAAAACCAATAAGCTTATATTATAAATCCAAGATGGTAAAAGTACACTAGGAGTAGCTCCATTTGCTACACTGGAAAACGGTTTGTGTGTTGCGTTTCTGTGATATGTAAGTACTTCAATTAAAAAGAAAATGTTGGCCATTAGGAGAACAAGGTTACACTTTTGTTTGCTTCCAAATATCTTTTACATATGCTATGCAGCATTCATTAAACCCAACCCAGTATGATACCTAACTAGACCTCAGTCTTATAATACAAGCCTCACATATGCATGCATTTCAAGTCAGAACAGTGTCACTATTAAGCCACCTCCCACTCAGCTTTGAACACAGTTCTCAGTCAGAAAATCAACCTATGTCTCAGCTGTACCATTTAACACTGAAAGTGGAAATTTCTGCAAAGGAAACTAATGAGCCATGGAGAAAGTTTCTAAGACTGCTAGCCTCTATATTTTCTGTGGGGAGGAATGTGTGTGTGTGTGTGTGTGTGTGTGTGTGTGAGAGAGAGAGAGAGAGAGAGAGATTGTTTGTTGGTAACCTACTCCATATCAACAGATGTCAGGCAAGAGTAAATTCAATCAAATCACATTAAAAGAACTAAAAGAATTTAGAGACAGAGACAGAGAGAGAGAGATTGTTGGTAACCTACTCCATACCAACAGATGTCAGGCAAGAGTTAATTCAATCAAATCACATTAAGAGAACTAAAAGAATTCGACTACTTTAGAACAATTAGAAAGTCTCATACACGTTGAAGCATAATAAAAACTATTACAACATCCATTACTGTCAGCTATCATCTATATTCTGAAGCACTGTAACCAAGACTCAGATTGATCAGCTCAAAGAGGAGGTGACCTCAAAAATGGAGAATAAATGTAAGAATTAAGTCTCCAAAAATGGAGAATAAATGTAAGAATTAAATCTCTCTCTCTAGAATGTTACGCCGCTTTACCCTGCTTCACAATAGGAGTAGAATAGCCCTCTGAAAGTTACAGATTATTAAGATTACTCCAAAAATATGTCTTTCACCAAGGAGGGCTCTGAGAGTCATCTGAAGCCCTTTCCCAACCTTGAGATCCCTAAATGTTTATTGGACTGCAAGCCATTGTCTGTGGTCATCAGCTACGCTGGCTGAAGCTGATAGGAACAAAGGGTGAATCCCATCGAGGATCCATGACTGGAAAGGCCTGGCTATCATCAGCCTTTTCCTCCAGCCAAATGTCAGGGCTGAGAAACTGGACAAATCCTTGGCCTCATTTCAGCTTACTCTCCTGAATTCTATTAGCAGGTGAAATACTCGTTTAATGTTTAAATGAAACAGACAGTGATTCAAGTGAGAACCAGGAACAAAACAAAGAAGTTAATTAATGCAAGAGATTTATAGTCAAAATTAAAGCAGACCTGCAATCCATTTTAAAAAAGCATACCCCTTTTTCTTGACTGCCTTCTCAAGGATTTTCTCATAAGCTAATTTCTCTTTGTCATACTGTGCCACCATTTTGTCAACTTGTGTGCAGTGCAACTTCTGCATAATACTGTGTTCCTGCAACAGAAAAGTATGCTATCACAAAACTAAATCTGCATGTTATCTTCTTATTCTTAACAGTCTTTGTGCCTTGAGGTTGCAAGTATTCATTCATAAACACTGAATGTCGGGGGGTGGGGGAGTAAGAGTTACACTTTATTTATTGGCAAGCAGATTGTAGAATTAAATTATGGGGCACTCTGTACAAATCCTTAATCATAGCCTATACATAGGACAGACATATTGTTTTTTGTTAAATTATGTTTATTGAGTTAGCTTTATTATAACATTATCATATAAAAGATACAGTATTTAAAGGTTATTAATTCTGAATTTCATTGTAGATCTCCTTTCATTAAACAGCTTTGAATGATGATAAAAATATTTTACTTTTAATTTAATACAGTCTTTTTACAAAACCTTAGAAGAGAATTTTATAGTGCTTTTCACACTAAACAAGCAGAGTACTGGTCAGCACTTTGAAACCCGAACATGAAAATGTAAAGCTCATTGTTCTTTTTAAAGTCCAGGCCAGAGGCCATTCTAACGATCCCTCCCAAGAGGAAGAAAACGTGGCTGGAAAAGCTGGCCTGTGATGTTCATGGAGAACAAGGCTCAGACATTCTTGGTCCAGAGAAATTTTAAGAGAAAAATGAATCTGAACAGCATCACCATGGCATCAGATTCATCAGGGGGACTCACTGGGAGGTCTTTCTGAGGAGATATACTGTATATAGGATTCCTCTCTAAGGAACTTTTAAAGTCATATATAGTCATCATGTGAGGACATTACCACAATACAATTTAGGAGCTGCCTGAAACTCTGTGGGGGAAAAAAGGAGGTGGAACACTCCAAGAAAAACTGTATAAAATTTCTTTTCGCATTCTCCTCCAAGACACCATTCATTTCTACAAAGGGCCACAAATTCAAATGCACCATCCATCCCATGCTTCTTATATTCCTTTCTGGTTATTCTTTTCCTCATGGAGGAAGAAAGTTAAAAGCTTTCAGGGAATAAAACAGATTATAACAGTTCTGCTTTATATGAGTTTCAAAAAGAATAAAGATTACAGTTTGGATGTCAGTGAAAATTGTTCTCGACAGAGCTCAAAGTGCCAGGTTGTTTTTGAAGTGGCTTAGCAACAGCAACACACCAGAAAGATGGGGATCCCACACAAAGTCCAGTTATGTCCAACAACTCGTATTTCCTATAGCTGTTGTTTCACTTAGCTATTCAGACAGATCCACAGTTAATTAAGCAGTGCTACTGTATATTACATGAGCTGTAATTTCTCCCTTGTATGTATGTGCTACGCTATATCACAATATTTTTTTTCTTTTCTAACAACAGATACCTGGTGCAAACCTTTCTACCAAGTAAATCATTAAAAAAAATCATACCTTTGCATGCTTCTTTTTCAAAGCATTCAACTCCTTTTGCTGTTTTTTCAAATGCTTTATATATGCCTGTTCCACAAAAAAAGAGAGAGAGGGGTTGGAAGAGAGAGAAATTACTGAAATTGCAAGAATGCTCAGAATAGTACTTGCTCATACTGATGACTTAAAGCCATTTTACAAAATTTAACATAACCTTCAAACCTTAGGTAGGTAAAGGTAAAGGTACCCCTTGACAATTTTTGTCCAGTCGTGTTCGACTCTAGGGGGCGGTGCTCATCCCCGTTTCCAAGCCATAGAGCCAGCGTTTTGTCCGAGGACAAACTTCCGTGGTCACATGGCCAGTGCGACTTAGACACGGAACGCTGTTACCTTCCCACCGAAGTGGTCCCTATTTACCTACTTGCATTTGCATGCTTTCGAACTGCTAGGTTGGCCACATAACTAACAAACCTATGGTACAAGGACTTATTATAAGAATCTGGAGGCTTAGATTCTTGGCTTGTTCAAACATTTCCCTACTAGTCTTACTATCTTCCATTTTATCCATCATAATGAAAGCCCATCAGCAACATACTAATGCATGGGAGGGGTATAAGAAGGGAGGCAGGTGGGCGTACTTTTCCTATCAGCTCCTTAGCAACCTCTACCAACAATTTTAAAAGATTCCTCTGGTGTTCGGTTGCTGTTACGTACTATCAGGTTGTTTCCAAATTTATGGTGACTCTGACAGGATTTTTAACATATGTGTTTTGTTTAAGGAATGGTTTGCCATTGCTGCCACCCCCACCCCACAGTTAGCTTCCACGGCTGAGCAGGGATTTAAACTCAGGTCTCCTGAGTCCAGGTCCAACACTCTAACCATCCAACACCACACCGGCTCACAGGTGCTCTAGGTGCTGAGGGGTTAAAGAGAAGCCAGGAAAAAACAAAATGCACCCTGGAGTGACTTACTTCGTGAGCAAGGATTATCATATGAAAATAAAACTACTGGATACGGTAAGCTTATGATTAAGGATTGGTTTTTCACACCATTTTAATTACAATGTAGTTGCATTGAAATACAGTAATTAAATATGTGTAACAGCCAGGTTAGTAGTTTAGGGATCTGGCTGTGGAGCCAGAAGTTGGGAGTTCGATTCCCCCCCATTGCCTCCTGTGAGTAGAGCCTTGGGCAAGCTGCACAGTCCCAATGGTAAACCACTTCTGAGTACTCACTATCTGGAAAAACCCTGAAAAAATGATTGCCATAAGTCAGAATTGACTGGATAGCACATGATTATTAGGCACATAAATGCTAACTTTTAGCATAGACATACCTTCATTTGCTTTAAATCCTCTATCTTTATTTGAGGAATAAGTTCTATACCTGAAAAGAAAAGAAAAAGTAAAGCAAACATGTTGATATTCTTTTCAATATCAGTAACTGAGTCGTCTTAATGGCATTTTAGAGAGCCATCCCATCTTGCTTAGACATTGTGGTGAATATTGTAAACAAGGACAAAAAGCGTTTTATAGTCATGCTTTATGATAGCTACAAACGTGAGGCACAGTACTTCCAGAAAAGAAAAGAAAAACAATAAGAGACCTTTGAAGTCTTTCAAATCCATGTTTACCTTTCTTAGTTTCCACTCCAGGTCCCCCACCAGAAGTGGTATTTGGCCTAAGTTCAGAGCTGGTCTGAGGGGTAACGTTTGCTTTCGGATTGTTAGCCTTGCCTTTCTTGTCGTTCTTTGAAGTGTCGTTTGGAACATCTGCTATATCACTCTGCAAGAAACAAGGGTGTTTTTTGTTTGTTTGTTTTCTATATACCATTGAGAAATCTGGATTTGAGAGGGGGAAAAAAGACATGGCTTCAGAGGTTCCAACATTGGAGAACATGGATACAACTCAGCCCACAGAAACCACTGCTGTTCCAGGGCATTGCTTGCAAGTGCCATGCAAAGAGAGTGAAGAGAATAACGTTAACCATAAGCATACAACCTAAATCATATTTTTTTTGTAAACTCAGAACAAAGCACCTGGTAAAATTTGCAATTATTCTTGAACTGTGAAGTCTCTCTAAATGGCTCTGCCTCTCCCAGATGACCTGGAAACCCAACAGGCTGAAACTGCTGTTGGCTCCAATATACTGAGGCTTTTTACTACTTTACTGTTACTGCCAATGGATGCCCTGCCTCATGAAACTCCAGGCTCTTAGAAAGTGTGTGTGTGAGAGAGGGGGGAAAAGCAGGCTTAAGGAAACCCCCATGATTTACAGAAGGACAAAACATGCATATACACACCTCCCTTGTAAGTATTGACCATGCCCCTGGATATTGAATGATGAATGAGGTATGTGTGCATGTGTAATTTACGCATACACCTCCCATCAGGAAGGAGTGGAATGGAATGGATATCCTGGATATGTACTACTAGCTAGCTATAATAGAAGCATTCTATACTGCAACATTTTGTCACAGACCACACTTGTTCAAACTTAGTAGAGAAAATAATCAAAAGTTTTTCTTAAAATGAAAAATATATGTGCTAGATATTCTCATTAGCAAAAAAATATCTACAGATTACCCATACACAACCTAGGCACTATTTCATTCATACATTGTTGCATCTTACAGAGAAGAATACATTTAGTGACACATCATAATGACCTGTCAAATCATGCAAATCCAGAGCTCTAGCCCAAAACTAATCATGGCGAAGCCTACCCAACACGAACAATGAGAAAACTGGCCAAACTTGTCACTGCTCCCATCTTGTAAATCTTCTAGTAAGAGGATTTAGGTAAAAATGCAAATCATGTTCACATCCATAGTTAATTACTACTTGCCGTTTCAATCCCCATAGCTCTCATCTGGTCTGCTCTTTTCTCCATGACAGATAAAAATTTCTTTGGATCTGACAAGGCATCCACAATATCTAAAATAAATTTAAAACATGCAGTCAAGATTTTTTTTCTCTCCTCCTCCAGATCTTTTCAAAATGTGTCACATAAATTTCTACACAGAGTCTATGCTTAATTTTGTCAGTTATTACCCACCCCATCATCAAAGGACTAATTAGGTGCAAGCGATGGCATACTTCAAAGGAGGTTCCAACAGGTATATAGTCCACAATGCTGTCACTAGGACATGGTAGTCGAGACAAGAAGGAGGAGGAGGAAGAGAGAAAGCATCTAAGAAGCTTAGCCATTTCTTGGGTTCTTCAAGGTGTAGACAGATCTCTTTCTTCAGTACTAGGCGGGGTTGGCCAAGAAGGTTGGGAACCATACCTGCATGTGAGAGGCAGGTCTCAAGGATGGACAATGGTGACACCCCCTACCCCCAATATTTTAACAGGGAAACATAAGCACTATTAGAGCTTTCTTTGGAGTATCCACCGTTTTGAGATCCCACAACTAAATCTGCCTCCAAATTGAAAAGTGGATTCAGGTTTGATGGGTAGCAGAGGAATCCTCACCCCTTCTCACCACCATTCTCTCTTCCTCCCTTCCCAAGCAGGAACCCTGTCTGTTCTCAACAGTGTTGACACTGATAGTATAACTCGGTCACACTCTGACTATGGGATTTCAAAGTAAAGGCAGGTGACCAAACCACATGTGTTCCAAAATTTATACTAAGTTCATGCTGTAAGTTGGTGATTTCTAATTTTTCATGTTGATTTCAGACTCAGGTTGAATCCAAACCATGTTTTTTTTTTGCAATCAGCAGAATTTCTACATACAATGCACATGCAAGGTGCTATATAGAAATGCCTTAGAAATGTTTAGAAATTCTCCACCTTTAGGATTATGAATGTGTTATATTGTGTTAATTCTTCCCTTAGTAAACTTCCCAGTGTTAAAGGCACCAATGCAAATGTTTACCTCCAAACCCATCAGGCACATATGTTTTGAGTACAATATTGCAGAAGATTGTTGGTAGAGACAATGGTTTGTTGCCTTCATTTCGAAGCGAAATGTGTCTGTAACCTGCCTGAAGACCATCTAGAGGCAATATCCTTTGGCCAATCAGTCTGTTGTTGTCATCATAAACAGCTATCCTCAAGACTGCAAGGTCGGGCAAGATAACCTAAGGAACCCAAGAACAAAGAAGGTTACAGGTGGTTCCAATATATTTCATTGTTCTCTTCAAAGGAATCCAGGGTAAACATCTACGGCAAGGCTGTAATTGTGCCATGCAGGATGCTGCCTACCAGGCTGTAGCTCTACAAGAACAGTAGGCTTAAGTCTAGCATTTTAAGGCATCATGTATCATTTTACCTAGAATATATAAACAGAACCAGTGAATAGCGAATGCAGTGGTGGAAACAGCCCATTAGAGAATTTTCTAGACGTTATGCTAGAGTTTTCTTCTAAAACTCAAAAGCAAGAACATTTGGAACAGGGAAAGAAATCAGAAATGAAGTGTTTGATTTTTAGAAGTGGACAATGAATCTCAGAGGCAGAGTTTGTAATGGGTGGTAGGAACTGAAATATAGCTAGTATTGTCCAAGACCACTTTAACATAGTATCTACTGGGGTTTAATTTTATTTTCTTTTAGATAGTTCCCTTTTTGCTCTCAGTAATATCTATGTTCTGTAATCATGCAGATAGGTGAGAATGCACACAATTGCAGCAATATAACCCTTGTTGAAGACACTCTTTAGTTTATCACACATGTTGTATAGAAAGTAAATCTGCTGGGAATCCATATCAGAAAAGAATAATGGACTAAGAGGGCATCCACACTTGCATATAGATTGATATATGGATTCCCTTTGCAGAATCTTTTCAGATTTCCTGCTGAGATGGGGCTGCTGGAGGTTTGCTGAAGGGGGGTGGAATATGCAAGGGATTAGATGGCCCACAGCATGATCTCCAGTGTGGATGGAAGGATTGCTCAAACAAGAGTTGAAATGGATCACACTGGAGATAGGAACCTTTTGAGTGTGGATTGGACCACAGCAAATTTCCCATTGCGAACAAGCCCTAACACTAGTCACAACTATAATAATTCCACTGAATCAAAGCTTGAATGGAAAATCAACACTTCTGTAAATAGAACATTGATTCAATGGATCTACTCAGTTTGGGATAGCAACTGGATTTTGGCCAACATTTCAAGACTTACCACTTATTGGCCAAACAAATAAATGGAACTTGCCACAAAGTTTTATTTTTGATGGTGGTGGGCAAATAGTATTTTAAAATAATTGCACTTCTACACCAGCAGAAAAAACTGACACATTTTCCTAAACAGAATATTAAGTGGAGGAGAAATCTCACCCCCCATGTATGCACAGCCAATACAAAACTATTAAATATTTTTCTTTTATTTTTTAAGATTAGGAAAATTAAATACAATGTCAGTACTGTCATCCACAAAGGGGAAAATGCTATAAAGGATAGGATTTGGGAAATCTCCACAAGTTCCTCTTATAGAGAACAGTCATCTCAAATATCTCACCCCTGAAACTTGGGCAGAGAACACTGTTCTCCCACCATCATAAAGAATGAAACTTTGTGGTAAATACAGTTGACATCCAAGAGCAGCATCATTCCAGGCAAACAGGGTTCACTAATTCCACAGTTATTCGGGAGGGACAGTAACCTTCCGACCAAAACCAGTCAATTCAACAGGCATCAACATCGAATTTACATTGCTTAGGAAAGTGGAAATAGATGGCCAAATGGTTCCTTTACAAATCATAGGCACAAGAACCTGTCTTGAAAGGCTGACAAAGTTAGTGTTCCATCTCCTGTGCACATCTTAACCATCCAATACACATTTCTCGTGTTGTTTAGCAAAGTTTCATTTTGTCTACAGGATTGAATAAAGGTTCTCCAAGAGTCTGTGCCAGTATATTAACATTTTGACATAGGAAACCTCTCAATGTGATGGGTTGCTTCATTTAGCCAGGATAGATACCTACCTTACAATGACACTAGCATTAAGACTTCTCTCTAAATCTGACCCTAGAAACTACAAAATGCCTGTATCTTTTTATATGTGAGAGTGAGTGATAAGATTGATAGGAAGAAAAGGCAGTTCATAAATGTTCTAGGTAATTGATTATTTGGGCAGAGTAATACATGCAAGATGTCATGTCATTAAGAAGACCTTTACTAAACAGATCAACTGAAGTCTGTTCAAGTTGCACGCTGTAAAAATGGAGTCATGCTAGGCCACTGCAAAATATCAGTTCCTAAGGCAGAAGTTCTACAACTGATGGAGGACACCATGTTTTGTTGATGAATAGATTTTTTCAGAGAAACATGTGCAGCATAGCTAGTGTGGTACTATGAAAACTACACTGCTCTCTCCTTCCTAAATTTTTTCACACTGTACCATTTTTTAAAAAGGGAATAAAATTCAGAGTTGCCATATGCACAACTTGCTGTGAAAATGATGGAATATTTTGGTGTCCCATGAGGTGAGAGAGTGAGGAACTTGCTGATTTTATAGTTCAGCTGAGATGCAAAGAACAGAAGTGGTTGATACATTCTATCTGCAATCTTTTAAGATGCTCCCCAGTCCAAGGACCACCTGCTCATCATGCAATCCAGTCTAAGTTTTCAGAACACACTGTAGTTTTGCTTTAAGGCACAGAAAAAAAACAGGTTAACTTACTGGACAGATGCATTATCTTATTCTGGACTGTTTGGCATGCGGCTTCATCTAAGTGATTTATACTTGCGTTTGCTATGGCATTGGCTGTCCTTGCTATTACATGACTTCTGGAAGAAATGTCTAAGGAGCCAAAGTAGACGCCTTGGAATTTGCATCCTGGTATCCTTGGGCAGTTTTCCCACTGCAGTGGATCTACTATCTGTTATTACACTTACTTTTCCAATTTATGATACTGAATATGCCATTAAAGCAGACTGCAATGGTTTATCTGCTCAGAGAGAAGAAATCTACCTGATTAGGGCAAAGCAGATGGTTGTCTGACATTTTTGTTCTTTTAATCAAGCAGAGACAAAGGGAGGGAGGTGATCTGCTCGCTTATGGTATGTGGCGTAAACAAGAACTCTTGCAAAAGGCTTGCCACCTGCTATGGGGCATGAGATATTACTACAGGTGAAGGAAGATTATTGACCCTCCACTTCAGAATTCTTTGGGGTGTGTGTATTTTAGCTCTTCTTGTAGCAGTAAGAGAAATGGCATCTTTCATTACTGTACAATCACCAGCAGAGACCAGTGTGGTCTGCACATACAATTGCAAAGAACAAGCCACCAGGGTGTTCTGTTGGAATAGGCTGCATCAACACCAGTTATGAGGAATCAAATAAATTAAACAGAAGAGGGTCCTTCCATTTAGCAATCTTTAGCAAAAGGTCATAATATTTATTCTTTTTCTCCAAACAACTGTTTCCCCCCAGATACTGTTATCCACTAATTAGGCAACACATGCTGATAACATGAATCTCTCCGCATCTCACTCTTTATCAGGAACCAAGAAAAAAATGCCTCTTTTATCACTGCAGTGGCATTTCTCTGCCTGAGTCCACCTTCCTCTTCAAGAAAATCTCATGGGATTTCTCAGTGGTTTCACAGTCTTTTTCCCCCCCATGAAAGAATTGCCAAGCTGTGCAGGTTTTGTTACAAACTGGCATCTTTCATGTGCAGGATTCCTCTGTATATGCCAGGAAGAAATCCTAAGGTCCATGAGACTATGACAGTTCTCAGGCAGAATGACATATTTCCTGTGTAGATTCACCTGACACGACACTTTGGCAGTGTCTTATGGAGAACAGGTGAAATAAGTTTAAAAAATATAAATAAGAAAAACCAATCTGTGGTCTCTTTTTCTTCAAAAGATAGGAAACTGTGCTGGTTTAAAAAGAAGTTTTGGCAGGGAATCTCTGCACGGTAGGATTCAGAAAATCACCAAGAACATTTGAGAGCATTTATCTACATTCTTAATGTGGATCATGAATACTTAGGCTCGGTCAAAGGCTGGGCCTCAAACTTTCTGCTCTTCTACCAGAAAGAACTAATAGTTTCAGAATGTTCATTTATTTGGCGACCCACAAGTATGGAAAAGGCGAAGAAAACAACAACCTGAGAATGGTCTGTGTATCTGGTTATATATGTAAATATTATTCACCTGTCTTTCTGTATGAGGAAAAAAGCTCCAAGACAGATGGTAGTGTGAAAATAAGATATCCAAAATTTGGGCATGTATGAAAAAGTAATGAAGGCTCCAGGGAATAATGGCGGAAAATGTTGAATCCCAGGTGGTCTTAAGAGATGCTCTGTTTGCCTAGTGGGATACAATCAGATGTCCCCTGTTGCTGGCCACACACTAATAACAATAAGCATTGGTCTCTATGAAGAGCCTAGGCTACTGCTGGAACTATTGCAGTTTCTAGTAGCTTCACAGGATCAGGCTGTAAGTTTATAGTTTATTCAGAAACATCCAGGCTGGCATGCACTGTTAAATACAGTGAGATTGGCCAAATGCGAGCAATAAAAATATCGCTATCACAGCTCACCAAGATCTCACAATGAAACAACAACATGCAATACGTATTATAACAGGAGTTTTACTTTAAAAAACCAAAACAAAACAGGACATTCAAACATGGCTCACACATTACCTGCTAAGGGTTTGCACGAGGTTTGTGCTTTAGAGGCACCACGAAGCCTAAACCTACTACCTCACCGTGTTACAAAGGTCATTTTCCTGCAGTTGGACTCTGGTGCCATATGTATTGTGATTGGCCTTCTTAATTGTTGTCAGACGAAATGTCAGATATGTTAAATTTGTGCCAAATTACCAGGAAAATGTATATTTGGCATTGTCAAACAGTCATATTGTAAAAGGGCATAATTACTAGCTCAAAGCTTCCATCACTACAGGGGGGAAAGAAGCAGGTAATTCTTCTGCATTCTAGACAACGGAACAAGCAAAAGGATAAAAGACACTGTTGAAGACGGCACCATGACGCACATACTTTGGATGAAACTCCAATTGACTAAAAAAAAAGAATGGGATATAAAAATTTAGGGACACCAGGGTTCGCAAGTGAGGGAGAATTTACATGTGCATTTTATTTTGTTTCAGATTTTTATTTGTTTTCCATTGGGTAAGGGAAAGTCATAGGGAAGGGGATTTGGATCAGGGTATTAGGGCAAATAAAAAAAATACAGAGTTTCTTCTTTTCCATTAATGCTGATTGTGTAAATGCTTCCATTGGTGAGACCCATTCAGGAACTTTTTGGTAATTTTTTTCCCCAGATCTTGGTCCATACCCAGTTTAAAGGTTTCCTTATCAGATAGTTTTTAAATTGTTTACTGTCTTTTGCTTTTTGATACCATAGGAAGGCATGCCATCCAACAACAACTACTACGACTACGACTACGACTACGACTTCTACTACTACTAAAAGAAAAACTACTTCTTTTCTTTCTTTTTCTTTTCTTTTTTTTCTCTTTTGGTAAATTCTTGAAGTATTAATTGTTTTGTAAGAATTGGTATTGTCTGAAAAAGAAATAGTATTTTGGGTATATTCATCTTCACAGCTGCAATCCTCCCCATAAATGATAATTGCAATTTTGACCATTTTTTTTGACCATTTTTCCATATTTTTTTCGATCATACCAATCACTTTGACGTAGTTATCTTTTATCAAAGTACTTGGTTTTTTTTTAATAGTCTGCATTTGTAGGTATTTAACTTTTTTTCCTCTTTAAAACCTGTCATTTCTACTAAATTTTGAATCTCTTCTTTCTTCATATTTTTAGTCAGGATTTGTGTTTTTTGTTTATTTACCTTTAGTCCGGATACTTCTCTAAATTTTTTTTTATTGTTTGTGAAGTATTAATTGTTTTGTAAGAATTGGTATTGTCTGAAAAAGAAATAGTATTTTGGGTATATTCATCTTCACAGCTGCAATCCTCCCCATAAATGATAATTGCAATTTTGACCATTTTTCCAGATCTTTTTTGATCAGACCAATTAGTTTGATGTTGTCTTTCATCAAGGTACTTGGTTTTTTTAAAATCTGAATTCCTAGGTATTTAACTTTTTTCTCCTCTTTAAAACCTGTCATTTCTACTAAATTTTGAATCTCTTCTTTCTTCATATTTTTAGTCAGGATTTGTGTTTTTTGTTTATTTACCTTTAGTCCGGATATTTCTCTAAAAATTTTTATTGTTTCTGTTAATGTCCCTATTGAATTTATCATAATATTCTAATGCATTTAATATTGTCCTAATATTGTTTCTCATCTGTCTCTTTGGCAGAAAGCCTGACTGATCTTCATAAATTATATGTACAAGAACTTTTTTCAGTCTGTCTGCTAAAACAGAGGCATATATCTTATCGTCCATATTCAATAGTGAAGCTGGTCTGTAATTTACATGTGCAGTTTCAACAGCTCTCAGCTCATTTCTCCTAAGGCTACAGATTGTACTCACATGCCCAAGACAGTGCATCTCAAACCTTTGCCTGCGTCTTCACCACAGATCAAGATGGATATGAGATGGCAGAATTCTGCAGTGTTGCCATCACATATGGTATGAACTTTTTATTTATAATTCATTCACTGTAGTTTTAAACTATACAGTGACAAGACCTCTCTGCGTCATTTACAAGAGCTTAAAAATAAAACAACCAGAACTAACCAGCAGAATGTATCATAATATAAAGCAATGACTAGAGATAGTACCCGTGATAAGCCCCATTCTTTTGCAGGCCCTTGGGAAATGATTTGAGCAATCAATCAGCCTATTGCTGTTTTCAGATCTGGGTCCTAATTTAGCATCTTTAAGAGTGGTCTGATTACTGTCTCTTTTAAAGAAAGAAAGCCCCACTCCCTCTATGAAAGGGGTGCTTTGTAGCCATATCAACTCAGCCAACATCTTTCTAGATGAAATGAGATCAAAGATCAAGTACACATTTTGTTGGCTCAACAGGATCAAGCACCATGTTTAATGCTCAAGCCTCAGCAACTGAAAGTCACCCATGACAACTGGACCAGACAGTGTCCTGGGCACTGAAATTGGCCTGACTACAGAATATCAGTCACAACAGATATAAACAATTTTATCTTCTGAGTCTATTTTCAACATCTTTTATGGAAGTCTACATACAGATTCCCCTGTCCCATTATACTTCTACATTTATTGTGTTTTAAAAAGTTTTGGTTGTTTTTTTTTAAACATAATTTGTGCGTAATAAAAAAAGTACATTTTAAACAACCTTTTCACTTGTCACAATGTGTCGCCAAAGGCACAATCCAACTTCTCTCTCCAGGTCAGACTGCAAGATTTTAGATTATACTCTTTCAATTTATATCAGGCAAAATCCAAAGCAACAAAACAAAGACAAAACAACAATAACAACATGCGTCACCTTAAAGACTAACTATTCTATTTTAATGTGAGCTCACATTAAAATAGAATAGTTAGTTTTTATTTATTTATTTATTTAATTTATTTATTTGATTTATATCCCGCCCATCTGGTCTGGTCGACCACTCTGGGCAGCTATGGTGACACATTTTTTTTCTTTTTGTCTTTTGTTTCTTTGGATTTTGTGGGAAATATTTCCACAGACCAACACAGCTACTTCTAAAATTACAACCTTCCAATTTACACTCAGTACTGTTTTCTGAAAATTCCCTTTGAGGAGAAAATCCCCATAGGAGTCAGGGGGACGGGTGGAACCTTTCTTATGGATGACTTTCACTTGCAAGGAGTTTTTATCAGAACTGGAGAAGCTACATTTCAGACTACAGCTCCTGGAACAACAATGGAGAAGGCTTTTCTGTTTTTTTCTTTTTAAATGTGGAGGAAATTTTTAAAAATGCCATGTCCGCACCTCCACTCTGAAGCAGCATAAGCTATTCTGCCATATGAGTATGCTGCCATCTTAAGCTAATATTTAAAGCTGGTACTTCCAGGAAAAAAAAAATTCTGACGTATCCCAGTTTTCAAACACCGCAATGAGAAAGTTTCATAAAATGGCACATGTAAATTCACCCCTGTGAAATAATCTTGAAAATGCATTTACCACATGGTGTCATAGCATATTTTTGTTTTTGCTTTGCTTTTGGTGGAAGAGAGAAAAAAAATGTACACGACGCACACAGGATGAGGGAGCCGGCCTCAAACGTGGGGGCAGCCCCCTCCTGACTTAATCCATGTAATGACATTGACCTTAGCTTTGGATGCAGGGTCTCACCTGCCCTCTTGGCTGAAGGAACAATGCAAGACAGCAGCCACTGCCAGGGCAGGGAAGGAGTGGTAATCTCCATGGAATGCAGAGGTTGACCGGCTGGAGCTCATTCTGAGCAGACTGCATACCTGGAACACAGACCTAGCCACGAACGGGTCTAGGTTCCTCCAAGAGGGAGGAGGAGAAAGCAAGGAAGAGGGAAAAGCCAAACAGAAAAAAAAATAAAAATCATGCGAGAGCTACAAGAGGTTTTCTCTTAAAAAAATAATAACCCAAGAATAAGTCAATCTTAACCCAGGATGACATGTGTATCATGGTGCAGCCCTGTAAATGAAGGGAATGCACTAGTGAAACTTTATTCTCCCTAAATCATCTCTGCTCAGGAAAATGGTGTTAACGAAGCAAAACATTATTCATGCTAAAGCTGCAAAAAGCATAAACTGGTTTTCGAAATGCATCATACCTTTCGGAATACAAATGATTCTTCATTGTAAACAGGATTCAAACCATTGTTCATCACCATCCGTGTTCGGAATTCTTTACGTATCGTGTCAGTAGGAAGGCCGTACATATCCACTTCTACGTAAGTGCCAATTTTTTTGTCTGATAAAAACTGGCCAGATATTACCTTTAAACGAAAGTACAAAAATGTACAGCACATCGATGAGACAAAAATGGCAACAGCTATGTAGGGGCACATTTCATGGTGAGAGTTTTCAGTGGGCGTCACTGGGGGACCGCGGTGCAGAGGACTAAACTTTCTTTGTATGATCATCCTCGTACTTCACCCATATGTAAGCTTAACAGATTCAATGACAATCTTTTCGATGTGCAAAATGTGCGAAGTGTTTACGAGTACCAAAGAGGAGACCCACCTGCTTCTCAACATTCAGCTGCAAAGCTTTTTCTAAAAACATTCTCGGTGCCTAGTCTGCGGCTGCAGAATACTGCCTTTTCTAAGGATCAATATGCGGATCAGGGCCTATAGTAAGTGACATCAACATAGTCTATCAAAGCAGCACTTATCGTCTAAATGAGGCAAACGAGTTTTTAAATTCCTATGAGCTGAATCCAGAGAAAAAGAAACAGCATTCCTACCCTGCTCTACAACACCACTGCTATCCCTCTGGGGAAAAGAAAATCTCCCAAAGCAAACTGTGCTGCTTATATACCACCCCATAGTATTTAAAGCAGTATCTAGGAGGTTCGCCATTTTTTTATTATGTAGGCTACACATTGTCCCGTCTCCACCCCACCCACCCCCGTTAGTTGGGTACTCAATTTACCGACTTCAGAAAGATGAAAGGCTGAGTCAATCCTAAACTGGCTACCTGAGGCTGGGATCAAACTCAATTTATCAGCAGAAACTTTGATTGAAGAGCTGCAGTTTAATAACTTTGCCACAAGGCTCCTAGTAAGGTTTGGGACCATCTTGAAAATGGCACAGGGATGCAGAGAGTTGTAGGTGGGGGTTGAAATGAACAGACTTTGAAATAGTTGAAACGAAACAGAGGCAGCCATACTGTGTCAAGAGATGTCCATCCACATAAGATAGTGCTGCCACATTTCAGCTAATTCCTCTCTCTCTCTCTCTGTCTCTGTCTTGCTATCCCCCCCCCCTCTCTGAAGCTCCATCATGCCTCATCTACTGCATGGTGAAATGTTGTCTACAGGGCACACATGGTCTTCAATGGAAAGGATGGAGCAGGAAAATCCACCTGAGCATCAATAGCATGGTTCAAAGCCTACTTGTTATGTTGGCTGGCATAATACCATCAGCATAACTTTCACTGGCCATTTACCACAAGTAATGGGAAGCTTCTTCAATGATTTGAAATATGGGGAAACTGAAGATCAACCACAAAGAAAGGCTGCCATCCTATATGTGGCCATAAGGCTCACTGAGTCTGATCAGGCTAATTCCAAGAGAAGTCACACACTACTTGAAACTTAGTGGTTATTTTAAAAGAATGGGACTCTAGCTATTACCTTTTAGTTCAGGGTGGAGAACCTACATAAGAACATAAGAACCTTGCTGGATCAGCCCAGGGGCCCATCTAGTCCAGCTTCTTGTATCTCACAGTGGTCCCACCAGATGTCTCTGGGAGCACACGAGACAACTAGATCCCTGTCTCCTGATCCCCCCCCCCCGCATCTGGCATTTGGAGGTACCTTCCTTTTAAGCCTGGAGATTATCCATCCCCATCTTGGCTTCTAACCTGAGATGGACTTTTCCTTCAGGAATCTGTCCAATCCCCTTTTCAAGGCATCTAGGCCAGATGCCATCACCAAATCCTGTGGCAAGAAGTTCCACAGACTAACAACATGCTGGGTAAAGAAATATTTTCTTTGGTCTGTTCTCACTCTCCCAACACTCAGTTTGAGTAGATGTCCCCCTGGTTTGGTATTGCGTAAGAGGGAAAAGAGCTTGCCTCTATCCACTTTATCCATCCCCTGCATAATTGTATACATCTCAACCATGTTCCCCCCCTCAGGTGCCTTTTCTCTAGACTAAAACCTGTGGCAAACCAGAGTATTTGGGCAACAGTATCCAAGACCCCTAGTCTATAATGCTAATGATAAAGGATTGTGGGAGCTGTAATCCAAAACATTTGGAGTGCCAAAGGTTTGCCACCCTTCACAGACATATAACTCAAGAGGGAAAATATTACGTAGCAAATCTTGTAAGACACAAACATATAAACCCACTTTATATTGAAACACACCACTAGGATATATAGCCTTTTATTATTTCCAGTGACTGATGTGAGATTCTAGACACATTTTTTTAAATTTGCTTCTTTCTGCATGAAAAGTCTGTGCACCACCTCTGGGTCTTTTCATTTTACAGAAACTTCATACAATTTCTTTCAAATACAATATTTCACTTTCAGCCAAGACATTTTGTTCCAGGAGGAGTTATTGTATATCTTGTCTCCTACCTGTACTGAACACGTTGCTGCAATTACACCATCTACAGGAGTTTCGGAAAAAGGGTCAAATGTTCGGTCTGGTCTCCGCATAAAATCTGGTTTAAGAAGAAACCTTCCCAAAAACAGAAACAAAGAATGCATTTTTAATGTCCAAATTTCACACTGTTCATCTTGATGTAATAGCTATTCATTTTTAAAAATATGTTGAAACAATAATAACAATGGAAACTTAAAAACAGTATTTTAAAAAATTGTGTTCTATTACAGTATTTTCTAAACATACATTTGAGGACAAATATATATAAAAAAACATTGTGGATTTTAAAACTCAATTAAAACATGGCTGTACATTCAGGCCTTCCCTCCAGCTAATACCTGATTTTCTGTTTATTCCCCCTTTATTTATTTTCTATTCTATCTTTGTATTGTATTTGTCATAGTATGATTTATGTAATTCTGTATTATTTTATTGTTTACATTATATTGGAAGCCGCCTAGAGTGGTCTTATAGGCCAGATGGGCGGGGTATAAATCAAATAAATAAATAAATCATTGAACCACAGAAAAGCAAAACAAAATAATTGGTTATGGGTATTTAGAAAATTTCAGACATATCCACAGCCCAAACACAAGGCATTTATCCCATTTATGAGATTTCCTTTAAGAATTACTAAGGCAATGCCAAAATTAATGTTTTTTAAAGTGAGTTAAAACAGCTAATTCCTAATCAACTAAACATATGATAGGAATTTCTACCAAGTGGTTACTGCACATTTATAAACATGGTGCCCATTCTTCGGTGGAGTAAAGTGTGAAACCTTGACCACATGCTCCACTTGGCTGAATTCAGTTACAGGTGGTTGACCCCCAGTGATGAACCTTTCTTCCTCCCTAGTGTCACAGTGTACTGGCATAGGTACAAGCCCTCCCCCATCAAGTTCAGTCCATTGGGCTTTGACAGAAGCTCTCCTTGCCTTCAATGCCCCACAAGGCTGTTGACAACATAGGAACGTAGGCTGTTCTCATTGTTCTTGTTCAGTGAAGCAATCTGGAAGGGCTTGGTTCTTATTTCACCCCACTCCCTGACACTTTGTTTCTCTTCCTCTCTCACAATAATATTACTCATTCTCCAGCTAAAGCCCAATTATCTCCCCATGGCTCATGGCTCATCGGTCTTTTTTGGTGAAACTGCTGCTGCTGCTGATATATTTGGATAATTCTTTCAAATACTTGAAACACTTCACAAGAATTTAACCACCCTGTAAAATAATCTGTATTATTATCCCACATAATGCAGGCAGGGACACGGTGGCTAGGATACGCTTGCCAAAGATCACCTAGGTCATAACCCCATACACATTTTCGGAAAAATCCCAGTGGATACAAATGGTTTGACAACTGAGCAGACATATATAGGATTGCACTGCTAATGAGTTTTTAAAGGAATATTCAAACCAAGAGCATCTTCTTTTAAAGCTCAGTCACATGACACTAATGGTTCTCAACTTTAGGTTTTCAGATACAGTTGCAGTTCAGCTTCCTAAAGCCTCATGGATTTTGAGAGGCACTGTGAAATAACATCTGGGGAACCACAGGCTGGGGACCACTGCTTTACCTGCTTTACCCCTCCTCTAATTTAGAGGCACACAACTGTGCAATTCTTGTTTAATTTGGGATTAGATTAACACACGTTTCTATCAGCTCAGCAGTTGTATTCTGGCAAAAGTCATCAAAATTAAGAAAAAGGTGTCGAGGTCTCACTCAGGCATTACCTATACTAATAAACTTTAACTCTGCTTCTTCCCTGCCAGCCTAATTTGTTACACATCTGAAATCTTTTTCTGAAATGCACCAGAAAGGAAGGGCCGTTATCACAAGGATATTATCTATTATCACATTATTTATTCCTTTGAACTTAAAAAAAATTAGGTACAACATATACCCATGTCAAATGTTTGAGCATGTTTGAATCACACAGACAATACAAAATTGCATCTTGATTTAAGGGTGAATTGTACAGGATGCTGATAATCCTTTACATGCACATCATAGAACAAAAGAGACACACAAAGCAATGAGATGGCCAGATATTTTTAAAAGAGGCTGCAAGATTCCTCAGTAAATGAAGCAGTTATATACAATGGCATCTCTACAGCACAAACATTTATTTTGACTGAGCTTATTTGGCAAATGATAGTGCTTCAAAATGGGCGCTTTTCTGTAGCTTCAGGTACTATCCAAAATGCATCAATATATCACATAAATCACTGATCACTTAAATCATTAAATAATAAACTCAAATACTGCTTATTTCCAAGATATAATTTGAAATAATTTTAATGCAAGAGACTAGTACTCTTAAATCTTTGTTTATAGCTGCAACTTATGTCACCACTTTCTCCCTCCAGCATGCTAAGACCATTCAAGCAACTCCAAAGGGAACATAATACAAGGGCAGCTGATCAAACATATGTGGTGCCAATACATGCTAATAATTAAATGAGGGAGAATGTGCATCCATGTAGAAACAAAAGAGAAGTGAACTATTAGTAACTTGTCTGCAATCTGTTCTTTTAAGACAAAATTAGTGGTTTACTCCTCTGTGTATCCAAACATGTATGCTCTGTAAAGGCTGAAAGGAGAAAATATATTTGTTGCAGCCATTGGTTTACCCACTATAGCATCCCACTGTGGCATGCAGGGGGTGCAGTCTGAAATCGGAGAAGCTCATTAAAGTTGCTGAGTATAGATGGGCATAAACCAAACTGCAAGCCAAAACAAAACAAAACAAACCACAATGAACAGGGCTGGTTTCACGGTTCAGTTCATGACCTGATTTGGTGATGACGTCTTGCCAAAGCACAATGGAGCGCTGAACTTTCCCCCTCCTCCCACTGCCCCCTTCCTGCTCCTGCCTCATTCACCTCCCCTTTTTCTGCTGCCACCATCAGGAGCTGGGACTGCTGCTTCTGTGCATGTGCCCACTGGGCACTGGGTGGCCCTGCTTTCTAGAGTGACGTGGCCAGCATGACAGGGACAGATAGACCCTCATACTGGGCATGAACTGAAAAATTAACTGTAAACCGGCTCGGTTTTCCAGTTGGTTCATGGTTGTTTGTGGCTAACCACAAGCCATCATGAACCACCATTTTTCAGGCATATGCCCATCTCCATTGCTGAGCCCAGGCCTCTATACAACCTTCAGAGACTCGTAATGATAGCCTCAATAGGGAGGTAAGCATTACAAGTCTCTCAAATCTTCTTTTAACTAGGAGAAAATACTTCTTGCCACTCTGTGGTCCTGGCTGAGAGTGGGCATTAATTTCCTACCATTTTCTAATTTCCTAATTTCTGAGGATGCAACATCTTTTTTCACCAATTCACTCTGACAGAGACATAGATGCCTTGCAGGTTGCACTACAGAGTCATTTGGAGAAGTAGCTTCAAATCTGGATCAGCCAAGTCATTTATGCATTGTTTTAGAAGTGGTTCGTCTTAGTTCCAAACCAATTCAATGAGAGCCATGGATGGCTCACCCTTCTCTACCTACAATGGATGTGTGTTATTTAACAGGTTATCTCACTTCTTGCAACATGTGAAAGGGAAATTTCTAAATAAAATTAAAGAAACAGTTAAGAAATTAACAAACAAAATCCCTCTAAGTAACAAAATAAAATAAGATGGTAACTGTATAACATTTTTTTGGGGAGGGGAAAGATCTTCTATTGTTATGCAGGTAAATAAGAAGGTAAGAAAGAATAAAATAAAACATTATGCGTGTCTGAGCGAGAATTGTTCTGAATTTACTGAGCAAGTAGTTTAAAAAGATAACACAAATTGAGATAAACACTAAATTTCAGGTATTGTACAAGTAATGCTGATTCATGCCCTCGTAATCTCAATGATAGACTAGTGTAATAAAAAAGGACCTTGATCCCTTTTTACAGACAGCAGATCGAGCTGGGATGTCCAGTGCATCGTCTTGCCTGGTGAGGTTAACTTGCTTTCAACTTGTGATGTCCAATGAGGTGGGCAAGGTGTTTGTGCACTATTGTGCCACCACCTCCTTTTTAGACCCTTGCCTGGCCTGGCTCATCAAAGCAGCCAAGCCGGTAACAACAGAATGGGCCACAGCAATAATTAATGGGTCTCTCCAGGAGGGCATGGTTCCCCTTGTCCTTAAGGAGACACTCATTAGAAATCTAATTTGGTGGCGGACAAAATTGGGAATTATAGGCTGTTGCGAATGAGTGAAGTGGTGGACAAGGTGGTGGCCGATCAGCTCCAGGCACTCATGGAGGAAACTGATGCCCTTGATCTGTCCCAGTCTGGCTTCAGGCCGCGACATGGTACATAAACAGCACTGGTCACCTTGCAGGATGACCTCCTGAGGGAGGCCGACAGGGGCAGTATGTCCTCGTTGGTCCTCCTTGATACCATTGACCTTGGTATTATCCTGGGGTGGCTCTCTTGAGTTGGGAATCAGTGGTCTCGCTTTGGTGTGGCTCTGTTCCTTCTTGGAGGACTGTCCCCAGAGAGTTCACCTTGGTGAGATGACTTCCAGCCTGTGGATCCTCAATTGTGGGGTTCTGCAGGGGTCGATCATCTTCCAATGCTATTTAATATCTATATGAGGCCATTGGGTGAGGTCAACGCTGATGACACCCAGCTCTACATCTCCTTTTCTCCAACTACAGTGGATGCTGTTCCATCCCTTGAACACTGCTTGGGGACCATCCTGGGGTGGATGAGGGCAAATGGACTGAGGTTGAATCTGGACAAGACAGAAATCTTGCGCGTGGGCAGCCACAGCGTCAATGTGTTGGGAAACTCCCTCTCCTTTTGGGGAGGTGATTCTTCCCACGAAGAGTGAGGTTTGCAGCGTAGGCATCTGCCTGGACCCAGATCTCACCATGGAAACCCAGAGGACATCTGTGGTCCTGGCAGCCCATTTCCATCTTCAGAGGATTGCCTACCTGCGTCCCTATGTAGATGTGGGGGCACTCACGATGCTGATTCATGCCCTCATAATCTCAAGAACAGACTACTGCAGTGCTCTCTATGTGGGGCTACCCTTAAGGCTGATGCAAAGACTTCAACTGGTTCAGAATT